AATTTGTCAAAGCAAGAAGAATTGTGCCTTAAAAGCACGTGTCCTAAAAAAAAAAAAAAGAAGAAGAAAAAAAGTATTGTCTGCCTGGCTTCTCTAGCATAAGCACATTCAAAAGCCTTCAGTAAATGAATGATCAGCTGGATACAGATATTGGTTTGGGATAAATAGGAGCTTATGTTGTTACAGTGTAGGAGGATCCATTAGAATGGAAAATGGATGAGGCTTTTGCTGTGCAAGAGACATGTTCTGTGAAGCAACATTAGTGCAGAGGCTAGACCCTGTCTTAACTAGGGATGAAAGTCTGCACTGAGAAAGCAAGGGTCAAGGAACCTGATCTGCATCATTAATTTGAACCTTTTCTTTGTAATAACCACCTCAAAGGAGCAGCCAAAAAAGGTAACAGAATATGCTGAGTAAACATTGGTCCACATTTCAACACAGTTGGTAGACTCCAGCAAGTTGACTTCTTTCCAAAGAGATAGGTTGTTGATCCCTTTTCAGAGCTGAAAGTAGGATGAATACCTCAGGACATAATATCTGAAGATGTTCCAGCTACAACCCTCTGCCACTAACATCACTGTACTGTCAGCTTCCATGACAGATGAGCCCAGATGTTAGTCCTGGCTCTGCCACTCACAGAAACCCTGAGGCTTGGGCAAGCTACATGTCCTTTCCAAGTCTATATCCCTCATCGAGAAAATACTTCCTGCATTGTTGAACTGTAACAAACATCAACACTTAGCACTTAGGATGCTTGCAATAAATGTTAGTGACTGTTAGATTCATTGACACCCCTTGAAAGAACTGGAGGTCATTTATAATGAAAAGCAAATATACAATAAAAATAAAAGAATAAAAATCGCATGAAGAAATAACTATACTAGAACTATAGTTAAAAGACAGTTTCTGCCAGCCAAGGGCAATGCAAAGTGGGATAATTCAGTGATCTTGTCCTTCTATGACAGGACAACATATTGTCTCAGACATGGTGCTACCCTGCCTGCCTTCTCCTGGCTGTTCCACTCTCATGCCAGGAGCTACTGCAGCCTCCCAGCCCGGTGCCAGCAATACTTCTCCAGATCCCAAAAGATAAATGAATCACCCATAACAACAAGATGTTTTGTTTTTTAAGAAAGTTTGGAAAAAAATACACTTTTGAGTAAATAACATGTTAATCCTTTCCTTTGCACATACAGGCTAAGAAAAAGGAAAACAGGAATTCTTTCAAGAAAATTCTAACTTAATTTTCATAGTAGGGCTGACATTCTAACCAAAGGGAATGCTCAGACTCTCTCTATGCAGCTTCTCAAAATGCAAGCTTCAGAGTTTACAGCCTTTACATGACAGCTCTACTTCTGGTTCATTCTTTCCTTTTAGCTATTGGATAAAGACCTATAACTCCTGAATTTCAGATTACGTAACTCTCCTCCAAGACTACAAAGAGCTATACTGTATCTGTATGGAAAAACCTGTCTGCATGAACTAAATAGGTTTGAAGAGTTTATAGATGCCTGATGGATTCCAGAAGTAAACTTACTGCAAAAACTCTGCTCAGTGAATTTTTATGTACTGCACATGCCTCTATATTGCACATGTCTCTATCACCAGTGAACAGAATTTTCTGTCCTTGAATATTTATATAATTCCATACAAAGATGACAGATTAAATTAAATGATAATGGAGAATAACAGATCAAAAATTTATTTCATAAGACAGTCAAGTTAGACCATGTGCAGGAAGCATAGCGTAGATAACAAATGATTAAGTTCTAAGTCTAGAAATAATGTATTTCTTCTCTCCCTTTCTGTATTAGTCTACTGGGACTGCCATAACCAAATATCATAAACTGGATAGCTTAAACAGAAATTTGATTTCTCATAGTTCTGGAGGCTGGGAAGTATGAGTTGAAAGTATGAGTCAATTCACTTCCTGATGAGGGCTCTCTACCCAGCTTGCAGACAGCTGCCTTCCCGATGTGTTCTCACGTGGCAAGGAGAGAGTGTTTTCCAGTATCTTTTCTTGTAAGTATAATCATCTTACCGGATCAGCGCCCAATCCCCCATGACCTCATTTAAGCTTAATTACCTCCTTGGCCCTATCTCCAAATACAGTCAGTCACACTGGGGGTTAGGGCTTCAACGTATCAAGTTGGGAGGTGGGCCACACGGTCCGTAGCATTCCTCTAACCCAAAAGTAGGTAGCTGCCTCATTTTGTCAGATCTCCTTTCCTGGGAGGTAGGTAAGCATGCTGAATTATGAGCTGAGCCAAGCGGTCAGTCAGATGAACTAAGAGAAAACCGGAGGGTCCAGAGTGAGAAGTCTCTCACCTAAAGGTAAAATGCCAGCCAGCCGATATTCGATGGTACCCCAAATGGAATTCCTGGCTTAAGGTGTCCATCTTGCATGTGAAAAGCCAGGGACACTGGAAATAAACCTTTTCAGTCAAGTTATAATATAAAATCAAGTCCAAGGCTCCTGACAGAGGTACGAGGGCAGAGGATGGTGCAACAGTTCAGTCCTAATAGATCAAACAGGAAGTGATCTGAACAGATTCCCAAGACTCCAGCCAATACCCTCAGCAGCTAGAGCTGTATACATTTCTCTGTGTGAGGGCAGCTTTAAGGCACCAGAGGAAAGCAGGCAAACCTACTGCCATCATTTTTGTTGTTAAAGTAAACTCCAGTATCAAATGGCAATTCTGTGGAATCATCCTTAAAACACCTTAAGTAAATAAGAAGATAATGTGCATTTAAAGCAGAAGCAGTCTTCTGATTTCTCTGTTTGTGTAGGCAGCATGTCTATGGGGAAAGTGCACTGCCTTTTATGCAGTTGCTGCAAAGCAAGTCCTGAACTGCATTAAATGTACACCGAGACCTTAAATGACAACAACTGACAGTAATAACAAAGCAAATTTAGGCAAAATAAAAATTTCCATGGCATCAACTACATTTTGATAATATAACATTTAACTTTCACCAAATTAGAAGAATCCAAAGAGGGACTAATTTTGAAGAAAAATAAAATTTGTTTTAAATTATGTATTTCCCATCCTTTCAATCTCCCCTTTGCTATCTTGATGGCTCAATAAATGCATATTTATGGAAATAATTAAATTCCCTTCAAAATTTCTATATAGGATATTTCCTCCTAATTTTTTTTCAAGTTTTCTGTATTCATTTTAAATGTTGTTCTCTTTATACAAATATCAGTGGAGGACTTTTATACTAAGACTTTGCCTAAAATTTGTCAGTGCCATCTATGAAAGTTAAAACTGCCACCTTTGGTGATTAATCAAATTTGCTCTAAATGGGATTAATTCGGGTGTAAATATGAAGAAGATTGTCAGGGTGCATGTCCCTTTTCTCATCTGTCCCCGGGTCTTTTACTGCACTCCCCTCACCCCCCACCCCTTGCTGAATTGAAAATGAAGCTGAGCTATAATCTTGCTTGGCAGATACTGGATCCTTCCTTTGATAAACATCTAAAATGCTAATGAATGTGGGCTGCAGTTCTGAAACAGCAAGCACACAATTTGACAAGAATCTGGAGGGTAAAAAAAAGGAAGAACTTTCTGACTTAAAAGAACTCTTTTTGTTCACATTTGGTATTGTTTCCTGGAGAAAAAATTTTGCTCCACAGAAAAACAGAAAAAAATTGTGCTACATCAAAATGCGGAAGCATGAAAAACTGATGAGCTTTCAGATTGTCCTCTTTTGCATGCAAATCATATCAGAAGTTCTCATTAGCATAAATGCATGAGCAACTCTAAATGCTTTTAATTTCCAATCTCAGCCAGCAGAGGAGTAATTTGTCACTGTCAGGGTGAAAATCTAAAAAGAAAAAAAGAGAGAGAGAAGGACTCCATGCTAAATTGGAATCATATAAATTTTTGATTTGCTAATTGACTGATGCTGCAGTTCAATCAGCTGCCTTGAAGGTGTAAATAATTCAATGTACAGTCAGAAATAAAAGCATAATGTGCCTCTACTGAAGGCATTTTAGTATTCAGTGCAGCAGGACACGCCTGACCATGTCTTTTTTACAGATATCCTCTTTAGTCAAATTATAAGTCTTCTGCAAGCAGCTACACTCATATAAACCAATAAAAACACCTCTCATATAACCCAAGTTTTGCAAGTAAGAGACATTAGGACTGAGGAAGCAGACCTCAGCAATCTTTAACTGTGAGCATCCCAGCAGGTTACAACCGAGGCTTCATGAACCATCTTCTTGTGGTAGCTCACTAATGCAATCATAAAAAGAAAGAGAAAGTACTGAAATAAAAATCTTATTCCTAATCCTGCTAACTTTCAATCTTTCTTTTCCTTTAATCAACTGCTCTAAATGCCATATGTAAAGTGTATTTATTGCAAAAATATCTCATTAGGGCAGGCATGATATGGATATTTTAAAAGCTACTCCCTGTGGTTTATTTTTATCATGTAGTTCTATAATATTAATATCTTTACCTTGAAACATTTTAATTTGCATCATCCAAAAGTTAGTTTATAAATATTTTAAGAAGTATTGCTTAATTCAAAGTCACATGGAATAAATATGACTAAAGTTCCAACTTATTGGAACTGTATTTTATCTAGTAATTGGTATTTTATTGAGTAATATTCTTAAACAGGAAAATCGAGTAGATATGCCAAAACTATGCTCAGGCATTTTCATTGTGAAAATTGAACCTGATGCAAAAATGAAAATGCCAGTGCCCTGCAAAAATTGAAAATAGAAATTAAGTTTAGACTAATTGAGAAATTACACAGAGTATATGTGTCAACATTCAAGTAAATTCATTCAAACTATTTTTCAGTTGTAGGATACAAACTCTAGCCCTAATTAGCAAATGCATTTAAAGAGCTATAACAAATATCACGAGCTATGGGTAAACCAACCTGTGCATACTGATAAGTATGTTTAGAAAGAAAAGGAATACAAAGCTAAGTTGTGTAAACTTAATTCAGTAATTAATGTATTAAAAGAAAAACTTTAGATCCCTAGAAGGCAGTGCTCCGGCAACCTGGACAGCGCGGCAGCTGCTCTTCGAAGTGTTCGACACCACTGTCGCCACCGTGAGTCGCAACTATGATGATGAGCTGCAGTTCTTGGAAAAGATCAAATAAAAACTGCTGGAGGATCAAAAAGGGCTTCATGCCCAACATGCAGGTTGAAGGAGTTTTCTACGTGAATGATGCTCTGGAGAAATTAATGTTTGAGGAATTAAGGAATGCCTGTGGAAGTGGTGGTGTTGGTGGCTTCCTGCCAGCCATGAAACAGATTGGCAATGTGGCAGCCCTGCCTGGGATTGTTCATCGATCTATTGGGCTTCCTCATGTCCATTCTGGCTATGGGGTTTGCTATTGGGAATATGGCAGCCTTTGACATGAATGACCCTGAAGTAGTGGTATCCCCAAGTGGTGTTGGATTTGATATCAACTGTGGTGTCTGCTTGCTAAGAACCAATTTAGATGAAAGCGATGTCCAGCCTGTGAAGGAGCAACTTGCCCAGGCTATGTCTGACCACATTCCTGTTGGGGGCAGGATCAAAAGTTGTCATCCCAATGAATGCCAAAGATTTAGAGGAGGCCTTGGATATGGGTGTGGACTGGTCCCTAAGATAAGGCTATGCCTGGGCTGAAGACAAGGAGCACTGTGAGGAGTATGGAAGGATGCTACAAGCTGATCCCAATAAAGTCTCTGCAAGGGCTAAAAAAAAGAGGCCTTCCTCAGTTGGGGACCCTGGGAGCAGGCAACCACTATGCAGAAATCCAGGTTGTGGATGAGATTTTCAATGAGTACACTGCTAAGAAAATGGGCATCGACCATAAGGGACAGGTGTGTGTAATGATCCACAGTGGAAGCAGAGGCTTGGGCCACCAAGTAGCCACAAATGCGCTGGTAGCTATGGAAAAGGCCATGAAGAGAGACAAGATTATAGTCAATGACCGTCAGTTGGCTTGTGCACAAATCGCTTCCCCAGAAGGTCGGGACTACCTGAAGGGAATGGCAGCAGCTGGGAACTATACCTGGGTCAACCGCTCTTCCATGACCTCCTTAACCCATCAGGCTTTTGCCAAGGTCTTCAACACAACGCTTGATGACTTAGACCTTCATGTGATCTATGTTGTTTCTCACAACATTGCCAAAGTAGAGCAGCATGTGGTGGATGGAAAGGAACGGACACCGTTAGTGCACAGAAGGGATCCACCCGCACTTTCCCTCCTCACCATCCCCTCATTGCTGTTGATTACCAAGTTACTGGACAACCAGTGCTTATTGGCGGCACCATGGGAACCTGTAGTTACTTTCTTACAGGCACTGAACAAGGCATGACTGAGACCTTTGGAACAACCTGTCATGGAGTGGGCCGTGCATTGTCCCGAGCAAAATCTCGACGTAATTTAAATTTCCAGAATATCTTAGACAAATTGGCAGACATGGGGATCGCAATCCATGTTGCCTCACCCAAACTGGTTATGGAAGAGGCTCCTGAGTCCTATAAGAACGTGACAGATGTGGTGAACACCTGCCATGATGCTGCCATCAGCAAGAAGGCCATTAAACCGAGCCCCATCGCTGTCATCAAAGGATAGAACCTGAACAACAGGACTGCAGACACCACTGACCTTCTCTAGTGGAAGTGAACTAAAGCGCTCTTCAGACATCAAACTCGAGAACTGACAGGTTCCAAAGTATGCAGCTATAACTGCTCATGCCAGAATGGCTGCCAGGGAGGCTGCTGCTTTTAGGAGCCAGAATTTTAAAATCACTTCTGGGAGGAGGCACGTTGCCCCCATTTGGAAAGGGAGAAATATGCATCCTTCTCCATTGTCCCCAGATTTTTAGGAAAATCTGTTAGCAGGTGGGTAGGGGTCAAGAAACTGCCTTACTCAGTCATACAAGTCTTTAGCCATCAGAATGAGCTTCTTTACACCAAGCTCTGTTTACATCCCAAGAGGTGTCATGAAGAACATTCTATTAAATAATAAGTTTTGGGGATGGTTCCCTTCCCTTGCTTTGTCGGTTTGTCCATTCAGTCACCCATCATTATCACCCCTGCACTGAGAAAAACCATAAATACTCCTCTTCCTTGGAGATATTAGATAAAGATATTAGATAAATGGATTCATTGAGGAAGGAGTGTGTGCAGAGATTTATTGAAAGGGCGCCCAAAAGAGAAAATAAGTTTTCACACCCTTGGTACTTTTCTTGTGCTAAATACGAGGCAGAGTTTTGACTGACCTGCAACATGGCATCACTAGTATCCTGGCAAAATTTTTTTGAGTAATGCCTTGCACAGCAGCTGCAAAGAACCCTCACATAAGACTGAATATCTTTACATTTTGTGGTTAAATTATTATAAAACCAAAGCTGCCACAGTTGTTAACAGTTGCTCTGTATTAACAGGTTGACTAGTCTTGTACTACCTAATCAGATTTCATGCTATGGACAATGACACCTCAAAGATGTTAAAGGACTATAGTTACAGGTTCCAAAGGCCTTAGTTGAATCTGAATGGCCAGTAAAATAGAAAATCTAATAAAGTTGTAATATGTTGCTTAAAAAAAAAAAAGAAAAACTTTAGACAAATTTAGTAGAGTTTGAGCAAAGAACAATTCATGAATCAGGCAGCCCTCAGAACCAAGAGAGGTTCAAAGAAGTCCACCCAGCAAGGTGGGCAGGAAGTATTTATAGACAGAAAAAGGAATCGATGTACAAAGGAGCTTGACTGGTTACAGCCCAGCATCAGCATTTGCCTTATTTGGGCATATTGCCATGAGGCATTTGCCACCTATGGACAGGGTCTGATCAGTTGGCACTCTGTGACTGGCTTGAGACTCAGCAATTTGTTACTCTTACATTAGGTTGTAGTTAGTTTACATACTGAGGTTGCAGCTTGTTACATAAGGAGGCAGCTTTTGACCAAATTTAACAAACGTATAACTTAAAAACATATATAGAAAGAGCTTACCTCCCCACCCCAGTTATTGCTAGGCCTCATGGTAGGTTCTCACTTAAATTTTGTCTCTAAAAGTCTGTTCTTTAACGATCCTTTCGAACGATCAGTCTAGGGTTGTTCGGAAGATCCAGGGAGAGCAGCTCCATATCATATAAGGCAAATATACCAAGTCTCCTGGACTATGTATCATGGGCTGTCCTCAGTCACACTGCCCATTCCTATGCCTCATCACTACCTCTGGGAAAGGTGAGTACAATGGAACAAGGAGAACAAAAGCATGCAATTCTTAGCTTTTGAATTTTAAGAGTCAAGTCTCAAGAACCTGAACTTCTGAGCAACATAATTTTTAGTCCCTTAATTCATAAAATTTATGTTAGAAACACTCACCCTGAATGAATACATGATCAATTAAAGCCAATTTTTTAAGGCTCCAAACCAGATAAAATAACCTGAAGCTTAAAGAGGAAGAGATAAACAGAAGAAAAGCAAAGTGAGAGACTGAATATACAATGACTGGACCATATAAAAAAACAGAACTTTGACTCATACTCTGCACCGACCTACCCAAAAAAGCAACCCTTTTTCTACAACAAACAACCTAGGGAGCCAGATTCCTATCTTTAATAACCACCCAGGAAGCTAAACAATAACTTCTATAACAATTGGCCCCCAAAAGCCAGGACTTGTTAATAACTGACAACTTCCCTAATTTTTGTCATTTCCGCCTCAGGACCCACCAGAGAAAGCCAAATGTGCCCTCCTAATCCAATCACACAGGAGGCCTAGTTCTGTTAGCCCTCTTTCAGCTTCCCCGGGCCCACAGCCTCCATGTGGGCACACCCGGAGCCATCCCAGCAGCCCTGTGAAGCTTTCCCACTCCCCTGCCAGCCTTTGAGTCTCTACCAAAGCATGAGTGATGGTGGCCAACTCCCTTGCTATAGCAAATTCTCAAAAAAAAAAAAAAAAAAGAAGAAGAAGCTTTTCTTTTCTCACTGGTTAATTCTCATTTATTTCTAGAAAAAGGAACCAGGGTGCCCATGGAGGGGTGCAGCTGAATCTCTAAGTCAGGTTGTGGGCTCCAAGAGCCTGGAGAATCTGCCTAGATCCCTCTATATGGCTCCTCCCAGAGTGAGCAACTTTACGGAGAGACTGCCCAAGATGGGGCAAAAACAGAGTAACATCCACAACAAGCATTTATGGAACATGTTCTATGTGCCAGTATAAGAAGCCTGAAGGACTAAAAAATTTCCCCATCTCCTCCCAGGCCCTCAGGTGACCTTGACCATGGCACAGTTATTCCTTCCTCTTTCTCTTGATAAAACCCGAATTGCCCAGCCCACAGCTGCTGGTCCACAAGAGCAGCTCTTCCCCACTCCAAAAGCCCTTTTTAAGATTATTCCCCAAATTAGCTGAATTTAGGCTAGACTCTTTTTGCTAAAGATCTATAAAAACTCTACCCTCCCTCTCCAAGGCAGAACATCCTCTAACACCACCTCTTGCTGTAGCATTTTGAATAAAAGCTAAGTCTTCACCATCCTCTGGCTGACTTTCTTGCACACTGGTCGACATGCTTTACATGTTTTTATTTAATTACTTTATTTAATTGTCCTAACAACTCTGCGAGGTGAGTGCTATTATTATCCCCACATCATAGAGGAGAAAATTCTGTCATGAAAAAAATTCCTTGGAGATAATTTCCTGGACATACTGTATGCAGAGAAATAAGATGAATATGTAAATACAAGGTGGGGTTTCTTAACCTGCTCACTGTTGACATTTTGGGTGGATAATCTTTATTGGGAGAAGGAGGGGCCAAGAATTAGAAAGAAGAGGTTAAAATTTCTTTTTTTACATGCTTTAAAATTTTTATTTTGGTTTCACTTTTTAAAACAAGTATTTATTATTTTGTAATTTGAAACACATCAAGCAAGGGAAATTTCATGAGAAAAGAAAGATCACCTTTGTTTTCTCAGCAGCCACATCAGATTAATGCTTTACATTGAACTCATGATTAATTAAACTTTACAAGCCTTCTTTTACATAAATCATTGTGTCTCCTCCAACCTGTACTCATAAAATTGATTTTTCAAACAAAATTCAGAGGCTTATATTTAACCTGTGATAAATTTCACATTCTTTGTTTTGGCCTTTCATTGTAAACTGGCAATTATTTCCTTTAATTTTGACTCTTTCGTCCAACTTACAAGCTATCTCTCCCAGTTATTTATCATCTGCAATTTAGGTCACTGCATTTCAATGCCAAAATCGTGCTGCTAAGGACAGAACTAAGGAGACTTGCCTTACCTCGCTAGAGACCTCCTGCCACAAAGTAGTAACACATTCATAAACATTATTCTAAATTGTTCCATCAGCCAACTGTCACCAAACCTAACCATGTCATCTGCAGGGCACCAGCACCACTGTGACTGGTACCCTATGGGGTTGTACATACTTTGCATGGTTGTCGTAGGAGGTGGCCCTGGCCACCCAGCTCACAATCCTCCAAGTACATCCCACCAGAATGAGTAAGTGCCATAAGGCTGTTTTATCCCAATAAAAATAAAAAATAAAAATTCTGAACCTACAGATATTCTACCTAGAACCAAATGTGGGAGAATGAGGAGCTGCATAAATTGGGACCTTTTCCCTTTTCTTTAACAATACCCACAGGTTCAACAGGTTTCTTTTGTTAGGTATCTGGTATAATACAAAGAGCATTAAATTGGATCTATATACATGAGTAAAACAGTTAAAATTTGGAAAAACAGGAGTTCTACGTGACCTCATTTTTGAAAATCAAGTTTTTATCATCCCGAGTCTTCTGGAACCTCTTCCATGCACTGTGGTTTCTCAAAAATTGCCAACGAGTGTGTGGTCACACCAGCAGTTTCCCTCAGTAGCTCATAATGTAATTTTTGGCACTTGAGCATGCATTTTCTTCTACCAGCAATGTCCTTCTCCATCTCTACCCTTCACTTTCCACCTTGTTACAGCCTATCCATCTTTCAGGACTCTGAGAACTCTGTGACTTCACATGCTACCTTCTTCATACAATAGGTTAGGTCCTCCTTGAATCCTATACATGGCCCAGACATGGAACACTCAAGACACAAGTATTCCAGAGAATTTTATTTGCTTATATCCTTTTCTGACTCCTCCACTATGAGGTGAAATTCTTGAATGCAAGAACAGGGAGTGACTGTTTCTTCCTTGTTCAGCCAAGTGTATGGCATGCTCAGTGGATGAATGCATCAACAGAGAGATGAAACTAAATGTTTAATGTATCAAAATCAGGTGGTGTTTTTTTTTCTTTCTTTTATTTCATCATATTATGGGGGTACAAATATTGTTAGGGTTACAAATATTGGCCCTGCCCCCCACCCCTCCCCTCGATGTGCCAGAGATTCAAGCGTGTCCAATCCCCCGGTGGTGCGCACCGCACACATATGTAAGTGCACACCCTTCTCCTCCTCCCCGCTCCTGCCTGCCCACCACCCGATAAAAAGTTGTTTTCTTTTTTGTTTGATAAATTAGGTGTTTTATGACTCCACTTTCCTGGCCTTCAATTTCTTTTAAAATACTTGTTCTAGGATATGCTTCCCATAAGAACAGTTTTCCTTGATGGAGTAAGTTTAGCAGATTAAAGCTGCAGAGCTGTGCTCTTCCTCTGTTGTCAGGTAGTGTCCCACCACAGGCTCCAAGCACACGGCTTCTCTTTGTTACTTTTTGCTCCAAACACAACTTTAAAGAATTTTGTTGTTGTTGTTGGCATTTGTTGCAAGCCTCGGCTCACTCTGGGCATCATCCTCCAGAAATCATTTTTATAGATTTGCACACTTATTACTTA